GCAACGATCTTCCCATTCAATACAGCGTGCTGAGACTTCGTCTAGGCGGAGTAATTGGCCACGCGGGGAGCGCACTGGTGAACACTTTTCCCAACACCCGGGTCGACGCATCAGATGGTCGAGCAATCACCACGCCAACATCCAACGCACGTGATGAAATTGCGGCAATTATCGACTCGAATGTCGGCCATCAAGCAATGATCACCCCAAGTGTGACAATCGCGGATGAAGGGGGAAGCCGTGAACGTTCATAGGCATGGAGTAGCATGGCTGCTGCATCCTATGAATACCGCAGCCCCTTGTGCAGCAACCACCGTTTCTGCTTTTTGTGTCTCTGATGATGGATTCGAGTAGGAATCCGAAAAGTCAGGCTAATAAAGCTCTTGTCCCGGCGATCGTGTCTCCTTCTTCTACACTACTTCCTGGGACTCGGCTCTTCGCTTCTATTGATAATGTTATGCTTTACTCAGCATAAATTGCAAAACTTTCTGTCGGTGGCGCATTGTATACCGTGTTGTCTCTGACAAATTCAGCCTTCGCTCGAAGTAGCTGGAAGAGACATCTAAGCAATAAAATGTGTGCTAGTTAAGTAACTGCCGTATTTAGCATCCGACACAACTGACTTCCAAGTGCGACGAACTCTGATTAATAAGCCACTCAGGAGCATATTACATTTTTGTCATCGAAAACGTTCTCTTAAGTTAAGCCGAAGTCTTGTAGGGGTATAAAATAAAAGAATGGTTACATTTGCTATAACGTCCTTTTTTGCGCAAACCTTAATAGAATTTGCCAGGTTAAATTATTTGGACACACATTCTGCTCAACAAATCGCAACAAATCAGGGTGGTCGGACAACACTTCGTATCAGGAGAAATTGTCAGCTCTGTACTTCTTTAAAGTTTGTCGCCTGTCGCACCCTTTTTACATAAAGATGTTATTGATGTCAGTTTAAAAACATCTTTGAAAAACCCACAAATATTGTGTTTTCCTTAGTTTCCATCATTTTTTCAACCTCAACACTCGAACCTGTATGATGCAATAACCATGAAAAAGTAAATTAGCCGAACAAATGCTTCTTAAGTTAACTGTGAGCATTCCAACTCTGTTTCAAACACAAAACAAACTATATTGTTCTCGCCGAATTCGGCTGTGCTTGAATTTTATTGTACTGACACTTAAGTCGTGTCGCAACTGCGTAAAGAAGCGGTGTTAATCCGAATTGGCACCAGAGTTTATAATTAAAATAAAAGTATCTCGCTTAGACTGCAGGCATTTAAGTTTAAATGTTTCGTAGCTGATAGGTGCTCATTAGATTTCAATTTATTCCCTTACTCATGTTCAGGCAAGTCAATATTGAGTGCAGTCAGCATAAACGGAAATACCCTGATGTGCTGGAAGGATAAGAGAAATAGATTGAATTATTCTAGCATTTTGTTACTCTGAACGAACGATGAACTATACAATTATTTTCACTTATATAAGGTCATTGAAGTTGCAGATAATGCTCAGGACTGCACATTCCAATGAGGAGTAGATGTGACATTTTGCACTTCCGACTTTTTGCAATTTATAGTCTCCCGATTGTCTTGCTTAAATGGTATCTTTTGTCAGGGGTTGGGGTCACGAATAAAATCTCCAACAACAGATTCGAGCTTGGAGTTGGCTGGGATGCGAATCGCTTCTCATTGACATTATGATCACATTAGGAAGAATTCATTTTTCCTAACTGTGCGTACTTCAGTCGTTTACGCCGCACTCCCGCAGTCTTGACTACGATGATTTGCGTTAGAAGATTACAGCGCCAACGGACTATTACTCAGTACACCGTGGTAACATCTTGTGAGTCTCGCCGAGCACCTTGAACTTTGCGTCAAATGATGCTGGATTTGTCATACCCCTGCCGACATTCACAAAAGAGATTTTTAAGGATTTTTTATTATTAATAATACAATTATCTGAGGATGTTATTAAAAGGCCATATAGGAAACGAAAGCATTGCTGCTTCAGCGCATTGCGCAGGTTAAAAAAATATATTTTGGGGAGATAAGTCTTGGCAGCGCACGCGAAATAGGATATTGAGCTTCATTATACGAGTGATGTTGCGCTAAATTCCAGAAAGGCTGTATGCTCCCAACATCATCATTTATTCCGACCTCGGGCCTTAGCCAACCTCAACACTACTTCAACCGTGCGTCTGGCCCCAAGCACGGCATTTGCATTAGCCTTATCCCTAAGACTGATTAGGCCGGAAATTGACGCGTTCCTGTTCTCGTATTGCCGACTGGGATCACATACAAGCGATCTTCACTTCATTTCATTCTCACTTCGGTCTAGACGTGATAGTTAATGCATACTGCTATAATCAACTAATCTGTTTTGAGACGACACCACATGACTCCTTGTGAATGAACATTTTTGTGTTCAGTCTAGATGATTTACATTATGATATTATATATTCGTAAAATCAGTTTTTCAGGGCTTATTATATGTTGACAGAAACATTTTCTGTCATTTTTCCGATTACTGTTTCTGAGTTTTAATTTGACGGATAACAATATGTATGTGAACAGGAAACCGGAGACTTTTCAGTAAAAAGATATTTTATTAATTTAGCTCATATTTGCACGCTTTATGTGAATGGAAAGATTCACAGTGTGAGCCGGGAGCATTTAACCTGCATACAGTTAAAAACCAACATACAATGAACGTATTCCTCCATACTTCCGAAATCGGTCTTGTCTGTTTGGAAATATATCTTGCGCTATTAGCCGCAATTTAGCGTTAACTATTTTCTCCTAAGCGGCAATTTCTTTTCAAAAACACCACCTGTTGTTTACTTATTTCTTTAGTCATGGTTCGCAATACATGTTTTGTATTTACTTTTCCTGCAGAAGATCCTGTTTTTGCTTCGTAACTCTAGTAAACTCCAAAGTCTTGTTTTGTTGCTTGATAGATCCTATCAGCTGTGCCTAGTTACGGGTATTTCAGGTTAAAAGAAATGAGATAGGATGATTTTACGCGTTACGTAAGGTTTTTTAACACGCATGATCTGTAAAGTCTCAGAACAACACGAATTGCTGCATCGTATTTGATTTTTAAATCTATATATTATTGACTTGAGAGGGTTAAACGGTCAGCCTCCTTTGCAAAAACTACTCTTAACATTTTATATCACAGTCGGTGTTTCTTCGCGATCTACATATCAAGAGGTCAATACGTTTGTACATATGTATCTGCCATTGTTCCGAGAAAGTCCAGCAGTATGTCAAATCAAATTGTTAGCTCTTTAATCCACTGTTGTCTATAAAATAAGAAGACATTTGAAGTTCACAAAAGAATGAAATACATTGCCGCCATGTCCCTTTTGCTTCGTTATGCTGAATGCTGCTCGTCGGGAAACGGTAAATGTCCTCTTCCATCCGTTCACTGATCACGTTAAACTCTGCGTAATAAGGGCGTTGCATATATGTAAAATGTTTATGATTTGAATTTTTCGTTTTTACGTGTGTTATCTGATAAAGGCATATATGCCTTACATGGACAGATTTACTTCAAGGGAGTGACCTTGTTGTTGGAATGCCAATAACGTTTCCTGGAAATCATGGCATATAATATATACAAAACTTTTCACAATAAATCGAATAGGCAGAATTTTCCTAAAAACCTGATAAAATCATTTATAGCCTTAAAGCTAGTCAGGATGTAGCTCATTTTCCAGACAATACAGTTTTTTTAAACTTCTCAGAATTTGGACCTACCGTTCCTTAACTGATAGCTTTCTGGTAAATATACCGCCGTTAGGCAGGATAAACAAATTCTAATTGCTACTGTGGCGAGGAGAAGCATTGATTTAGACACAAAAAAATTAAAAAAATCTCGATGAGGCTTGCAGTTGACGGAGAGGTCATTCTAACAGCAAACTGAATGGGAAAGAATAATTACGGGTTTTTTTTGTTTTAAGAAGCACAACGATGTCCGCCTTCTAGCTATGCTTTTAGTCTCAGTGATGTTGCTGAATACATTACTCGGCAAACTGATCACCACGGCTTTGAGAAAATAATCGAAAATAATAATCGGCGTTTATACTTCGTAATTGTAATCCATGCCGAGTCTTTACCTTTCGATTGCACGTTTAAAGGGATGAATGGGCAGAAAAATACAGGCAATATCCGTAATTATCTCCAATATCTAATGCCGAAATTCAAATAATAAAGGAGATGTGATAGGGAAGAAAATATAATTATTAAGTATGCCTGTAAATTTTAAACATATTGTCAGTCTTTTATGTCTTTTACCTACTTCATTGCTGCACGCACCATTCCAAACAAACAGGCTTTTAAACCGAAAGTTCCGAAAGGTACACGAAATGGCTTCCTATATTTCACATTCAAATTGCGCAGTTTAGGACTGAAGGCAATTATTTATTTTACTTACTGGAAGTTAATTAACAGTCCACCGAATTTCATTCGACTGTCCTGTCTAAAACTCTGCAATGCTAGCATAAATGCTTCAGGAACTTCTAATGAACCCGTCAACCCCTTATTATTAAAAGTATAAAATATGCGTTTCAGCGAGTTCAACGTCTTTCTGCAACACAAAATGTTGAGTGCTGAGTCCATACAGTACTAGCAGGAATTATCAACAGTACAAAACTGAGGAGTCTTCAGAAGTGAAACTTTTGCAATAAATATGAACAAACGTCATCTCCTTGTGAGCAGCTAACTTCTTTATGAAACAGATTCCGTCGTATGAATAAGAGGCGGTAGGCGTCCATCAGCATGGCAGAGAACATAAAACTGAAGAGGGTAGGCGCCAGTACGCAGCCCTGCTTCATTTCGTTGGTCACTGTGAATGCCTCTGAGACAGCTCCGTTGTCCGTGACTCGCGCCATCATACCGTCGTACAGCTGACGCACCATCTGAGTGAATCGCTCCGGACAGCCGAATTTCTGCATTATCTTCCACAGTCCTTCACGATTCACCGTGTCGGAAGTTTTCAGCAGATGCACGAAGGTAGAGTACTGATGAGTTAGCATCTCCTTACACTTCTCCTGAAGTTGGCGGGCGGCGAATGTCACATCCGCGGTCCCACGATGACGACGGAAGCAGCATTGGCTTTCCGGCAGAAGGCCCTGTTCCAGATGGTTATTGAGGCGGTTGAGAAGGATGCGGGCAAAGATCTTCCCAGCGATGATCAGCAGGGAGATGGCGCGGTGATTGTCGCAGACTTGGCGATTCCCTTTGCGCTTGTGGAGATGCACAATGATTGCGTCTTTGGCAGCAGACAAGGTTTTTGTAGGCAAGGTCGAATGCATTACACTACCGCGTGGTCAACACGGTTGAAATATGTAACATAATATAATATAAGCACGCCTACTAATAGGGAGCAAGTGCGTCAGCAACATTACTCATAATCTCAGGCTACAAACATCGGACATACATGATTACGCCGACGCGCCATTCCTCCATCCCTGTCCTCCTCCCCCCTCCCCCCAACACGCTGAGACACAGCTGGGTCACATAGTACCTTCGCCACCTCGCACATCCATCACAATGCGAGGCACACCTCCCACTCGCAAGGTCGGCTGCTTATCTTCCTGTCTTCGTCCTCAACCATCAGTGTGACAATCTCATTATTTACTGCGTCTGAACAAGGGTAAAAGTCTTTTTTCCGACGAACTTCCTCCTTTCGTACCACCTCGGAATGCATACTAAATTAGTCATTCATATGTATACAGTAGGTTGCCTAACTTATGAAATCTCCACCGACATTCCGAACAGTGCTTCCGTTTCGAAAATATTAATTAAATAGAGTTGTAGAACGAAGATGTGGAAGACGTAATTGGAAAACACATTCATTTGTAAAAATTGCAAACTTTACTCTTTGGAACCCGATTGCGTTTCATAACGCCAATAAGCTTTGATGACAGTCTGTAAAGGGGGTCTTTCGAAAACCTTGTTTGAGGAACACGTAGAAGTCGCACTCGCTCATATTCATCAAGTTTAATAAATCGGAGTCAACGAGTTCGTACGGACTGCTTTACATCTCCAGAGAAGAGATTTCTATTTTTTTTCGAGCTCTAACCGACTTGATTCTCATAACCCTGACGTCGGGTATAGTAGACATACATGCACATTTCCGAAAGTTCTCAAGCGCTACGCCTCGTAACAGTGTGCAATTAGAAGGTAGATATGGAAACTGGCATGTCATTTTGCATATTAAAAGTTTACTTTTGTTCAGCAACATTTTCTTGAACCAGTAGTAGTTTGCTCGTTGCAGCAAGAATTTAGCAACATGTTCAATAATAATTTCGTAGCCGATGCGCGGACACTTGGAAATTCCTGAAAGTAACACATATATTCAAACTTTATTTTTTGCTAGGGTTATCAGCGAATGGAGTATCTGGGGAGAATGCTAACAGAGCGATAATTCGACGTTTAAGTATGTATAAACGTCTCGATTGAGTATGCCAATGCAGGCTATGTCCAACGCTGCGTGGTTACTTTTCTTCAATTTCAAAACATCATACATGACTTAATAAATAAACGTTTCTAAGTTGCGAGCAAGCGTAGTACAAATGACTTTCAAATATTATCCGATCTATTCAAAATTTCTTAAAATGCTAAGGATGTTTATTTCCAGAGGGCGTTTCCAATGCAGTGTTGTGGTTTAAATGGTCGCGAATGATCGGTTATGTACGTGAACTATCTCACGCCCCCCTAACTCCCCATACTCCTCACTGTCTCCGAAACCCGTATGCCTTATTTGTCACACTCTCTCCGTATTCCCACACTCACCTTGCTTGTTAAAACACACCTTAATCGATTTGTCTTGTAGTATTCATGCCTCGCATTCAAATGGGTACTAGTTAAATATACTGAGTCGACAGAAATTTATCATGCGAACATTTGTTTTCAATAGTGTTTAAGTAGCTTTAATGGCAGGGAAAATACGGAAAACCTGCCGTCTTGTTTCATAACTGCTAAATAATCACAACCCTTTCGGAGCAAATAATATCTCGTCGTTTACGAACAGCGCTTAATGGTCGTCAACTTTCAAGCTGAATTTAAAATAAGGACAGCGCGCAGACTGTTTCTCGGCGAACCTTCTGCGCTTATTTGCTATGAGCTGAATTTTTACGATTGAGTGTCGTAGGGTATGTGGATTTCATCGGTTCATTTCGTGCGTCTTGCGCTTCGTGGATTCCATTTATTATAACGGATATCTTTATCCGTTTAACACCTCAATAAAATGGCTTTCGGTATTCTAAATTGACAGCGGGATAGGCACAATGCATATAGAAATCCAAGCCTGCGGAAAGCAGATGTCAAAATAAAAGACGTCTTTGTTAATATTTATTACAAAACAGTCGACTCCTGATCTTTGCCTGCTTAACCATGTCCACGGTTACTGAAGGCATTCCTTGTAATGCACCTCCAGCAAACCCCACCTCAACAATGAATAGACGTCAGCAGACCGCATATCTAACAGGCCTAATCAAGTGGGATTGAGGGGTTCATAAGTGCATATATTAGTATTTGTAAGAGAACTGCAAAACTCAACAGAGGACAGTCGAATCCTATTTGGTGAGTCGAATTCCCTCCTCCAATAAGTGATATCGAGGGTCGCCTTTAATGACAAGCCTGGTAGAATGAAGTCAAAATATCCGATATTTCTCCAGAAATTTCTAAATATGTTCGGGAGTCGTTCCTAAGATAAATTTAAGAAAGTTCATAGTAGTTATTATGTTGTGACAATTACCAGTAGGTAGTTATAAAATACGAAAACAGCTCATTTTTACTATCTTACATGGTGTTTGATATGCATTTGGCATCAGGTAATTGTGACTGGCATGTGTACTGTAGGTATTTCGCGGGTGCTACATCCAGTGAGAATGTGCAGTAGAAATGTAGGGATGGCCGCTTTATGAGCACTTTGAGTTTTGAACGTGAATTATTTGACAGGGGCATTATTTTTTCAAAACCACGACGGTAGATCTGACGTGCCAGGTATTCGGCGACTTCGTCGAGAATAATATCTTCGTCATTTCTTGGACATTTCGGTATTTCTGAAGATAAAAGTTACTGTGAACGTTTTTACAAAAGCCGCTAAAAAGTAAGCATTTCGAGATTAATTAACTGTTGTGAAAAGAATATTTAAGGGATCAGAACTGTGCAGTCAATAAACAGGAAGCGTTCCGTATAGTAAGGGAATACAAAGCCAAAATATTTGTCCAATTCTATATGTAATATTTCTCACGGGTTAAGAAAACATGTGAATCAGTAAAGTGCTTATTACTCTTTATGAAAAAACAGCATTCTGCACAGTGGGACAAAGTGAGAACAACGATCAGAATTTTCATTTTTGTCAGACCAATGCAGATTCAATACTAATTTATTATAACAATTTAAGCAAGCAATCACGGAGGCAGTCAAACTGTCGCGGGATTATAGGTCGCACGAGGACGTGTGGACTGACAGGCGTCGCTAGACAGCGCATATCTGCTAATAGAAAGTTGCTTTGAAATGACCATAGCATAAGGCTGTATGTCCGCATTCCTAGGTTCATAGTGTCATGACTGGGAGCACGAAAAATACTTCCATTCCCAGGTTACTATGACTTAAAATAAAAAACCGAATGCATAAGTCATTAAGCACTTATTAGAAGATATTCCGGTGATAGCTACGTCTAGTTGCCGTAGATGAACGTTCCAGAATTGTTGTCCTGCATTCTTTTGGAATTACACATTATAATATAATAGTTGGTACTGATTACTTCCACAGGCATAAGTAAATCAACTGAATCGACAATAAGCACTGCCATCCGTCAAGAAACTGTTCGGTCTCTATACCACTGCGGTATTAAGAGACATGTTTAGTGGCCTATTATCATCACAATGCAATGTAGGAATGCGTACTTGATGGAAAACCAAGTTTATGGCTTAACAATATTAGTATCAGAAATAGCTAATTCTTCTAAAATACATATTCTAAATCGCCGAAAATAGTCAAAGAATGTTTAGACTCGCATAGTCTAATTGCCGGAATTCATGTGTTAAATGCGTGCTTAGATTCCTGACAGTCTGCGTCTGGGTAGGATTGTTAATGACTGATTGTTTTTAAGTGCCCCTTACTGTCGTTCCAACAAGAGCGCATGCCGTTTATCGCGTTTTGATCTCACCTCTTCTGCCTTAGGGGTTGATGTATTAAAAGCTACACGTTGTGACACGGAGGATGGTATTTCCTTCTTCATAAATTAGCAGGCGTAAGCATAAATTTCAAAGAAACCAAACCTCTAATGTGACTCCTGAAGTTCAATGGAGTTAACAAAACTCCCATAACAAAATTTGGGTATCGGTTTCCTGTTGCGCATGACGACTGTCTTTTTAGTTTTCATCCGCTTCATTTAACTCAATTTGTTTGAGGTTTTGAGGTTAAGTGCACACAACTTTACAACCAATTATCGTAGTCTTCAATTTAATCTTATTATGTTTATGAGTTGTCAGAATTACACGAAATTACCAAACGTAGGCCGTAAGTTAGTCAAGGGACCTGCAAATGCTACTGTACGCGGTAAAAAATAATTAGATCACGTTTTATTAGGATTAATAAAGATACCTTCCGCCGACGTTTACTCGATTCTCAAAAGCGATCTGCTGGCTGCTGATTACAAATAATGTCTTCAATAAATATGAGGGTAGAAAAGCAGTCGAAGGTAAGAGGCCGATTATTTTGCAATAAACATATACCATAACATTCTGTATGTTGAGATCTAACTTCTGCATGTATCGCTTTTAGCGTATGAATTTCATATGCATTACGTCTGATCCGTTTGCGAGGCAGTCTTCCAAACGCTATTGATATAAAATATATCTGTATGAATGAGTCATTGGTAGGTCTAATATAAAACCTCTCAAGGCGTAATGGATGGAACCTTTTAAATTTAAGCGTTTAACTGTCACTGAACAAGTGGACGCGCTGTAGGGTATCCGGATGTTAAAACTCACCACGGAACAAGTTAGTCTTAGGGGATTTGCGGACACATATTCAGTGTGCTGCCCCTAATTTCGAACACGATTGCAGATAGAGTAACAGTATTAGATGTTCGTAAACCCCAAAGTATGTATGAATTTTAAGGAGGCGGTTAGAGTTCGGTGGTCATTAGACAAGGCATTAGGTCCCCATTTTGTTTTACCACCTTTTGGCAACAACTACAAGCTAATTAAAATTACGCGGCCAAGAAAAATCTCCGTTGCACTATGGATGCGATTTAAATGTAAAACGTGTGATGATCAAAAGTAAATGATTTCCTTCA